AAGATGCTCCTGATGCCATAAAGCTAGATGCTCATGAAGCTCCGAGAACCCCAGACCCTGGACAGCAGGAGGCTGGTTGAGGTCCAAGTCGAGTTAAATGAGAGAAGAAGGTAGGCACATGGGGGGGGGTACCATAGATAGATAGATAGATAGATAGATAGATAGATATAGATTTTGCGGATTGTATCCAAAGTCTTTCCAAGCTCAACGCATGGGGTCTGGATGAAGGTCGTCGACGTGGGTGCGGAGTTCAAGGTGCTTGCTGAGTGTGGTCGCTAGTGGTAGTCTTGGTAGCAGTGTTGGCAGTAGAAGTGGCAGCAGTATCCTGGTAGTGGTGGTGACGTGAACAATTTCTTGCAACCAGGCAGAGCTAACCGTCGCTGCCTGTGGTCTTGGATTCTCTGCGGCAAGCGCAGACCTCGCGAGAGCATGCATACATCACGCATACACAATCAATGACTTGACAGGACAACTCCAACCCACGCTACGCTCCGCTACGCTGCACTGACTCCCTCTCCGGGTGCACACGGCGACAACGACTCTGGGCTGACGACACTCGGACCCGTGTGCGCACTTTTCCTTGCAGGTGCCTCACGGGACTGTCAACGACGTCGTGACTCTCCACGCTGAGGCTGTGCTTCATCCTGGCAACTATGGCCAGATCCAGCGACTCGGGGCGAAGATTTGGGACGTTGGGGTTTTGGGCTGGCGGAAGCAGGCGCGAATCAACGAGATGTGTTCTTAAGATGTAAGCAGCCTCAAGACCCGCACATCCAAATGTGAGTTATCCTTGCCTGGATCCTCGGCTCTGCGATGGTGAAGACAACCGGTACCTCGGCTCGCTGCAAGCGGAGGCGTCCAAAATAGCGAGCACATCCGGTAACTGGCTTGTCCAAGATCGTCGATCCACAGGTGGATCTGCTTCCGTTTTAATGGCTAGCTCACCATCGCGAGCGCGAGAAGCCTGTCACAACCCCATCAACTCAACTTGCCCCGCTCGCTAGAACACAAGGGCGCGAAGATCGGAAGCTGGCTCCTACAGCTCGAGCCCCCACGAAGTTGTCAACCCCAGACACAAAACTGGCACATCCCTTTATCAACATCGCGAACCAAAATCCCTACACTTGGCAGGGTGCATTGCCAAGTCCGCACCAGCGCTGCGCTGCGAGGGGATTGGTGGCAGCCTGTGGCGCTTCTCGCCTCCGGAGGGAGTCTCGCTCTTTCGGAAACTCAATACTACACCCCTTCACAGGTTTCTGTGTTCCACGGTTGGTGGGTGGATTCTAGTTCTACTAGTCATAGTCTCAGCCCGTCCGGCTTGACTTCGGGGATCACCACCACCCATAGCATGGCATAGCGACCGGCCGCAACAGCACGGACGATGACAACAACGACAGCAGCAGCAACAACTACTACTTAGATACTGCTCCTCCAGCTGCTGCTACTGCCGCTGCTGGTACTACTGCTACTGCTACGACGATTGCTGCTACTACTACTCTACTAGTACTACCCTGCTGGTACTACTGCTACTGCTACGACGATTGCTGCTACTACTACTCTACTAGTACTACCACCACCATCACCACCACCATCATCACAACCACGACCACAACCGCAACTACAACCGCAACCACAGCACAACCACAATATGCCGAAGCCGAAGCTTCGAAAGATCTTCTCACCTCGACGTGGTCTTGTGATCAACCCTGAGAGCTAAAGAGAGTTTAGGGTTCGGGGTTTAGGGTTTTTGGCCCTGACTCGACCGGCCTTCGCTGCCAAACTTGGGCGGATCTTCCGCCTGCCACAGCAACAGTGAAAGAGTTTTTGCATGGACTTGAATGAAGGTTTGGGCTCCCGTAGCCTGCGAGCAGGGGACTGTGTGAGGCAGCTCTTCGCTCGCATGAAAGAGGTCGCATCGGGAGTAGGTGGTGCTGAGAGGGCTCTTGTAAAACTACCGTAAAGCAGCGGTGTCTGCGACACTTCTATGACCCGCCTTACGGAGTCACTGCTGGCATTTAACCTCCAATCACTTCTCGGGACTGAACCTTGTGGTAGACCTCAGACCTCCGGCATCCAGCCTTTCCTCAATCCTCGAAACAGGCTGCTAAGCTGCGGCGGAAACACCTTGCCCCTCTCGAGGCTCCGCTCGCTGCGCCTCGCCAGCAGAGATGAACAGGCTTTCTTGCTGTTGTGGCCTTGAGGGTTTGGGGATGTGGGGCATCTCAGGCCGGCATTTGCGGACTGCAAACAACCTGCGCAGTCGCGGCAAGACCGACTGCCTCCTGGATTCGGGGGCACTCGAGGGAGCAGCGGAGGTCACCTGGCTTTCTGCCATCAAGTGCGGGCTTTGAAAGCGTTTGGGCCCGAAGCTTCCAGAACAGCTCAGGACCATGTCTAGAATATGACACCTGTCAAGCGATGATGTGCCATGTTATGCTCTGGGGTACGATTGTTGAGGAAACAGAGCAGATGATCTACAAAGCGTTAATGGAGGACAAGATACTCTGTTGGTGCAGGGTTTGATTTTATTTCAGGTTGCAGCCACTGAAGCCACATGTGCCAAGGAAAAACTGAGAAACTCCCGGAGGCAAGGGGGTCTTGACCGTCGGGGAATCTCAGGGACCACATTCTCAATCTGACGCAACGATTACAGCTTGAGTCTTAGTCGCTAGCGCGTGCACTGATAGTTCTCGTCTCGTCATGGCACTGGCAAGGCTGGTTGCCTCGTGCTGAGAGTTCAGGAACCCAAGATCATGCGGCAAGCTGAGATCTCGTGTCTTGAACAGAAGTAGACCCGAGGAACCGGATCCAATTTTGCACCGTCCCCCTCCGGAATCTGAAGCCCACAAACTACACCATCGGCCACGCCTCTTTCGCTTTGGAAAGAGGTCCTGCGCTCATGGATCGGGCCTGCAAAGTTCGCTGAGGGACTCGTGGCTTTTGGAGGGGCGGTTCTGACAACGGAAACGACAGTATCCACTTTTGGCTAAGGCGGTGCTTGCGATTGCTCTTCGGCCGAGGCACGGCAAGCCGTCGTATGCTGAAAGAAATAACCTATAACTTTCTTCAAGCCGGCAAGATTTTGCTGCTAAGCTTCTTAGAAGGTCCGTCGTCGTAAAACAGAAAAACCTCAAAGATGACAAGCCTAAGAACTCCAAAGATCCAGGCGCTCCAGGCTGCGGCAACAACCGGCAACAAGGGGAGCAGGAGCAGTAGCAGCATCTGCAGTAGAAGCAGTCAGGTCTTGTGCAGAATGCAACGGGCCTGAGCTCGCCGAGGACGAGGTGCTGGGAGGGAGTTCCGCCGCAGCTCCGGCGGCAGCTCCTAAAAAAGGGCCTTAATTCTTGGAATAAAGCATCGGGGGCCCCCTTTTGCCAAACTAGAAGGAGAAAAGCTCGAGCTATTGACCTGAGGTGGGGACACCTCCAGAACTTTGATTGGCGGGCGGTAAAAACCGGTGGGGCAGACGAGACTGAACCAAAGACAAGAAGTCAGGCAAGGACTCTTTCAAGGCTATGCCGACTGTACCAACATGGAAATCCGTGAATGCCGTTTCCGACGTCCTGCCTGCAAGCCCATCTTCTCGAGGATGAAAGCGTGCGCTTCTCTGAGCTGCTGCTGAAGCTGCTGGATGAGGCGATCCTGCATGATGAATTCGACCCTTGACCAGAACCCCACAACCAAAGACACCCTCCTTCGGGTCCAGGTTGATTGTCGGCTCATTTTTGATGAGAGCGGCCTCGCTGTCAGGCTGAACAGCTTCCGGGCTCAGAGCTTCAGGGCGGGTTCTGGCACCCCATCTTTCAAATCAAGGTTTCTTTGAGGAGCAGCTGGATAACCCGTCTGAAGCGGGCCTGCGCGGCGTATTGCAGCGTGCTGAGATTCTCCTGCTCGCCAGCTCCGCCCCGCGGAGGAGCCCCATGAGAACGGTTAAGAGACGGGTCGATCACGTGAAAGGAGGTTCGGTAGGGTTAGCGGGAATATGCCATGGGCACATGTGTCGGCTGCCCTATCAGCTTCAGAACACCTCGAACGCTGATACAATTCAGTACGAAGGCCCTGCAGCAGCAACGGAGTCAGTGTTTGAAAGGTTTGGGAAGGCTCGGGTGCTTTCACGGCGTCCTCCATCTAGTGTGTGTTGCGGAGTGTTTAGGGGTCCAGCATTTGGAGGCTTCACAGGGATGCGGGCGCATGAATCCTGCAAGAGGGTTTCAGCCGCTTTTGTGTGGGGTTAAGTTAAAGCCCCAAGGTCTTACACTAAGGCCTGGATAAATTTCAGTTGCGATGCCAGGGAGCCGGGAGAAGGAACTACAGTGAGGTGCAAGTGGCAAGATGCCGCCATGTATCGGAATCAATTTTTCAACGCGGAGGGTAGATGCCATGATCTTGTGCACCGACGAGCCTCGAATGTGGCTTGCGTGGGCATGTCTAACCCACCATGAATTCTGAGGCAGCATACACATTCAATTTATCGACGTTGTGGGAGCTAACTCCAAAAGATGCTATATTTGCCATTCACAGGGGGGCCACCGTCATCGTAGTAGTCACCGGCAATGCTTCGGGGATGGAGAATCTCTCGGTCGATTCTCCTGGCCAGCACGATGCGAAAGAACTGAACCATGTCGATGTCTCGCTGACATTCTCAGTCATGGAGCTTCCGATTCTTGCGAATCTATTGATCCACTCTGGGAGGGCTTTCACCTTCAAGCGGTGGCAGAAGTCCTCTGCGAAGTGAATACAATTGCGTTGGAAGACGTCGTAGGACTTACCAGGATAATCCTCGACAATGTCCCTGATCATGGCGTTGTACTCCGTCTGGGACAACTTTGTGTACCCGAGGAAGATCGTCTCCCTGTAGCTGTGCAGGGTGTCCTGTCGTGGGGGGATGCCAAACACGCCGGGCTTTGTCGCGCTCAGCGTCTTCCCAAAAGCCCACTCTGTGCTGCCGACTTGCACTCCCACATGAAAAATGCCACCCAACTTCACTGGCGCCCACCAGTGTGCGAAAACTGCATTGAACAATTTCACGGCATCGCTCCTTGTCACATCATAGACGTTGGCGTACACCGGGTAAAGCTTCTGATCATCCACATGCGCCATGCTCGCGCTAAGATGCAGTAGCGGTCACTAGCCCAGAGTTAGTGACAAAGACACGTAAGTAGGTAGATAAATAATACGATGGCAAAAGGACGAAGAGATAAATGATATCGAGGAGAGGCTCTCAAGCTTGGATTTTTGAGCAGTCAATCTGGCTGCGTGTCGTAACCGCTTTCTGGAAAATGCTGTTTGCATCAGTAGGCGTCATTGGCAGTCATGGTGCAAAGTAGATGTAGGCGTACTAACAAAAAATTGCACTTGTGGTAGTCGCCATCGTCTCGTCGCCGTGCTGATTGCTGCTGCTGCTGCTGCTGCTGCTGCTGCTGCTATTATTTGCCTTCTTGGTGGTGGTGGCGGTGGTGGTGGTGGTGGCGGCGGTGGTGGTGGTCGTCGTGGTGGTGGTGGTCGTCGTGGTGTTGGTGGTGTTGGTGGTGGCGGTGGTGGTGGTGGTGATGGTGGTCAATACGCAAAGATGGCCAGAACGCCGACGGTGGTGACTCTAGTGACGATTCTCTCTCAACAGCCTCGTAGGATCGGTCTGCCGGTGAAAGGCAGGCGAGCATCACCATGAAGCCTGCGTGACTCGGCATATATCTTGCTACAATCACCAGCAAGGACAACAGCAATGATGTCCATGATTCAGATCGTAGCGCTCGCGATGGCGACGAAAACAGTAATAACGACAACGCCTACCATGCCACAGCAGCAAAACAGCCAACACAACCACCAGCACCGCATAGCCGCCTCTACCGCTGCCGCCACAACAGCAACAGCCACGACGACGGCGACGACAAAGAAGAGTTGTAAGTTATGTTCTGTACTTTCTAGTCATAAGTAAGATAAGTAAGTAACAAATTAGTCATAACCAACTGACCAAAGAAACCTGACTGACTAGTTGACCAACTTACGAACGAACTAAGTGGCTGTCTGACTGACAGACTAAGTTACTCACTGACAGTAATTGCCGTAACCACATATGCTACCACCACCTCAACACATAGCACCCAAGAACAAACAAGATCGGCAATCAACACCGAAGACTAGCGAAAACGATCACCACCACGACGGAGCTCACCGACGAGACGGAGGAGGATTGTCACGCTAGGAGACGACATCGGAGGAACCGTGTCGCATCCACCACAGTGACCACGGCGAAGGTATCTCGATGATGATAATGATGCTGATGATGGTGGTGGTGGTGGTGATGATGATGACGATGGTGATGAAGAAGATGATGATGATGATGGTGGTGATGATGATGGTGATGGTGATGGTGATGATGATGGTTATGATACTGATGCTGATGATGATGATGATGATGACGATGATGATGATGATGATGACGGTGATGTTGGTGATGGTGATGATGACGAAGACGAAGAAGATGAATAAGATGAAGAACATGAATAAGATGAGGATGAGGATGATGAGGATGATGATGATGACGACGATGACGACGGTGATCATGACGATGACGATGACGATGAGGAGGAGGCGGAGGAGGATGGTGATGGTGA